CACACACACGCACGCACAAACACACGCACACACATACAGAGGCAGGCAGGATCCTGTTGTTTTCTCTAGCCAAGCAGAACCTGCTGCTGTTATGAGATACAGTAAAACTCCCACGTTCGTGTTTCAGCTCTGTGACAAAACCCCACAAACCAACACGGAGCTGCCTCCTACTCCTATGTTCAAAGTTTTTCAAACACTGTATAACATGCTCCTGATTTATAAAGAGCAGAGTCCAGTTTCAGAAGGAAGAAGGGGGGATTTTGCCAATATTCAACATTTACAGTAGGCTATATTGTTTTTAGGAATATATAAAATATTTTAAAAAACTGTTGAAACTTGAGAAAAAAATTTGACTGAATGAATGAAATGAGTTAATTTTGTGTATGGTGTTTATTTTGTTGATCAGTGTTAACCTGACTGTATTTCCTGCTTGCAGAATAAATATTAATCATTAATCAAGAATCAACAGAGTCATAAGCTAATTCTTATCACCAGAAATTTTTTTATGAACAACCTTTAGAGAGTTGATGATCATATAATGCAGTTTGTGGAGTAGTAATAGGATTACTAACATCCAGCCTGCAGCAGTGTGCTACACTGGAAGAGGAGGGAACAGACTACTGCAAAGAAATGAAGGCTCTGTGTGCCCTCTCATACACATAGCATACTTTAGCTTCTTTCTACTGAGAACACAGCACGTCATTGACTCACTGTATGTGTATGTTGCTGAGCTCCTGCTCTGTCTGTCTCTGCAGCTGCTGGAGGTGAAAGGTCAGTTCTTCACTCAAAGCTGCAAACCTCCACAGTCCTCCTCTCCCTGGGTTCTCCTCGCACACCGAACCCTGATCACAGGAGGACAGAGGAGTTACAGAAGGTCCACAAAATAATGGCCAACTATAAAGCAAACATTTCAGCACTGATCCATGATCAGGCTTTCAGTATGTTCATAGCTGGCCATAGTAACTTTATCTGTTCTCTGAGTGTCAGCCTAACATACAGTAAATTAGCATGTTAGCATGAGCATCAGTGTGTTTGCTCAATTAGCCTGCTATAAATAGCGTATAACCTTGCACTTGGAGGAGGAGGGTGAAGCGACTGACTTGCTATCTGCAACAACACTGCTAGATGCCACTAAATCCTACACACTGGTCCTTTAACTTTCCATCTAGCACCATCATCAGGTAGTAGCACTGTCATTCTGAGCATGTTGCCATACAGGCATTAGCATTTACCTTGTACAGCCTTACAAGAGCTGCTAGCATACATAAAAATAGGTCACAAGGCGAGCGGCCTTGCAGAGTTAGCTGCTAGCATAGCATTCATTAGACTTAATGAGACTCCATTAGACTCTAGGAGTCTAATAAATAGTGGTTTACCATGTTATTAGGTGCACCTCTACTAATCTACAGGGCAAAATCCACCATTTCACCACACAGGGAGCAAATCTAATAAAGTTGCTGCACGCCGATCACTTTCATTGCTGGGCAATAACAGCGTCATATCCAGGCTGGATTTAAAGTGGTTTGAAGTGGCTCTCTGAACAACACACTCAGATAAAGAATCCTCCTTTTGTTACCAGGGTGAAAGGAAATACCCTTACATCCAGAATCTAAGAGAAATAAACTGTGTGCTGACAATAAAAAGACAAAACAGACATAAGTTATCATCTGATATTTAGTCTGGAGGGCATTTGATATGAGAATGTACCCATATTACACTTGAGCTCTCAGTAGTCTGCTGTCTCCGTTTGTCAGACATAGCAACATGTTGAGTTAAACAGAAGAGAGTGATGAATCACCAGCTGAAGGAGGAAAGTTGGAGTAGACAGACTGATCAGACAGATAGACAGACAGGTAGATCAGCAGATAGACTAGAAGTGGTGAATGATAGACGCAAAACCAAAAGAGGCACTTATAAGTAAAGGACTAATGAGTAAAGCTAAAGTTGGAGTAGGACGTCTAATCTGGTCCTGAGTCTAAACTCTTTGTCCTTCAGCGAGTGGCAGTGGGCTGAAAGACAACAGACTGACTGAGTCATTCTGGCACAACGCGATGATCACCCTCATCCTCCCCTTCGTCTGTCGCTCTGTCTATCTGTGTCCATGTGACTCAGTTTAAAAGACAAACTGGCACTATTCACACAACAGCCAAATCTGATTTTTCAAATGTACATTTTAGTCCTCACTGTCCGCATTGAAGCTTACAAGTGGCTGAATAATATTAGCCTCTTCAGATATTCTAATTATTCACCTCAACAGACATAAATAAGAGATTCAAGGAGAACATGTGCATGAAAGTCATTTCTTTCACTGGTGGACAAGTAATAGAATGGTGACACTGTCAGAATATTTATCTGGCGTTTCTGTTCTTCAGTTTATTGTCATTTATCAGCTGATGGGTACAGATATATCTACAATGAGCTAATATCGGCAGATATATCAATTTTTTTTTGATTAAGGCTTGTGAAAAATGACCCTTATTGAACAGAGATGAGAAATACAGTGGATTTAAGCTGGCTTTCTGGACATGGCCTCAGGAAAGATCCACAACAAGGGTAAAGAAAGGGACAAAGAGAGACAGACAGGCAGATTCTCACCATCAAAAGTGGAGAAAAAAGTCAAGTGCATCACACAAAGAGAGTGCCAATAAAAACAAATCCCTGTATAGGCTGTTAGCAGGAATGCAGTTAAGGCACTGTTAAGCAATTAGGCCTGTACCCTCGAGCAAAGATTCATGGTTTAAAAACATCAGGTTAAAATGAAATAGCGCTTCTATGTCAGCAAACACAGAATGACACTTGCCTCTGCACTGTTGATGATCATCTAACTGTTTCTAACTGAAGGCGTCATGTTTCAGATTCCAGTGAAGCTGCTCTGAAACACTTTCTGTCCACCTTCAGCTGTGTTTGTGGACCTTTAACTCATTAAAGAGGAAAGTGCTGGACGGTTAAAATCTGTCCAACTGGAAAATGTTACCTTTATCATTCACCATTAAATAGGAATTCCAATTATCCTATTATATCTGGCACTTGCAGTGTGATGCACCCCTAAATGCAGTCTCCTTCCAGTCATACTTTGTCGTATTTGTTAGGTTGAGAATGATTTTACATTTACCTGTTGCTCCTCAGTGCTGGGGGATTGTAGGATGTGAACTTTGGCTTCTATCAGCTGCCGTAGTTTGTCGAGCGAAGCAGGGAAGTCCTCTCTGTTTCTCTGGAACTCTGGATGCTTTAAAGAGAGAGAGACAGGCAGTTTGTGTTATTTTATAAACTTTCATCACAGTAACCCTCACACAGGAAATCTGCCTCATGTTTCACAACCAGCATTGGCAGCAACCAAACCCCAGTGGGAGTCTACTGGCTGCTGACATAGTGAAAACATCTTATTTCTAAAAAATATGCTCAATCTCTGTTCTAAAGGTGCACTTCGGCTGTCGAATGTCTGAAAAACATTCTGCAAATAGTTTTACCTGAGTGTCTAGATGCCATCGTCATCTACAATTAAGGCAACACCTAACCTGCTAAACTTCCTCCTCTGATACTTTTAGCAAACTCTTTCTTTGGTGTGGAATGGGGAGAAACAGGAATGCTGGGAGAGACTCCTGCTCCTGAATTATGAGAGAGGATGCCCAAAATAGCCGCACACAACTGTTTCGCGTCTGAGATGTGAAACACATCAGCGGACACAACAAGGCACAAGAGTTATCGTCAGGCTTTATCTGTCTAGCTCTGTGAATGCAGTGCTGGAATAAAAGATGGGAAACATTGGAGACTGTATGATCAAAATAGCATTATTAGAATTAAATGGATATTGTATTGCCTTCCCTGACTGGTAAACACCGATGTCCCTCAAACTCAACACCCAAGTTTATGTTGACCAAATCGTCATCGGGTTATCTGATGATATCAGATGACACCATCAGATAAAGCCCTATGAACCATGACACGGTAAGTCGATTATGAAGAAAGGGTTTCTGCAGGTTCCAACAGCAGAATAATTGGCAGCAGGTACAAGTTGAAACACTGACTTTGTAGAAAAAAAGACCAAAAAGGTAAAGTAAAACAAAAAAACTACAAAACCGAAATGTTCCTTCTTATTGAAGCAGAAGTGGAAAACATCTCCAACACTGTTAAGGTGGTTTCAGAAGTTAAATGTCAAAGTGCTCTTAGGATAACATCAGAAATTCTCTATATTGTTTTGAAGATGAGGGTGTAGGTAACCGCGATACAAGTCTGCCTACTGAACAGACTCTCAGGTGGTAGAAGCTTCCCACCCACCATTGTTGGAAACCCACCACAGAGAGCCATTGTAAGACTGCGCGGAAGCAGCTCACCCGGGTGGCTCGTATGCATGTTTTCATCTTAAAGGAGGAAACCAATCTTCATACATATATAAGTACTACAGATGGACAGCAGGCAATTAATTTCCTCACTCGCCATATGAAGGATGCATTCACAACATGAGTGGGCTGGGTGTTCGTGACACAGTGAGTCTGTGTTGTCTGATTAAATGCAATCAAAACAAGCCCATTGTGTTTTAATCCCTCTGAAAAAGATTACATGCATCGACAGGAGCTTGGGGGAGAAGAGAGGAGTTTATAGTTGTTAAAAAAAAAAGACAAAAAAGTCTCGATATACAGCGTTTAAGAAGCGTGTGACATTCAGTGGATCCAACAAAGTCCTTTCTTTTCAAAAAATCTCGTTATAAAAGTAAAATAGTGCCTGATGAATGGGAGATGCTAGAATTCTCTCCTAGTTACTGTCCAACCCTTTCTCCTTTGAATTATGTTTCTATATTGTTAATTTGTTTTCTTAATTACATTTCTCAGCAACAAATTAGGAGTATATGAATGTAATTTCTAAGGTTGTCAGAATAACAACATTACATTGTCAGGATTTTAAATGATAATAAAGATAAAAGATTCCTGTACCAACCCAAATCATTTCAAATGAGTTAAACACCATTTCCCAAAAGCCCTAGACCTTTCTCGGCTAAATGTCATAGCTTGACAGAAGAGTCATGGGGGCTTTAAAAGTTTGGAAATGGAAAATGGAAAATTTACTTTAGAAAAGAGCTTTAAAGGATATGAACAAAACCACTTTATTATTACGTACCCACGCTGCTGGGAACTGTCATTTTTCTGTGCTCACAAAGTAATCATTGTTGAACCTTATTAAAAATCACTAAGGTTTCGATTTCTATTAACAGGTGTGGTAGTGGATGCCAATTTGTCTTAGAATGTGGAAAGAAAACTGCAGGAACCGCTTCATTATTTCAGAGAGTTCCAGAGGCTAGCCCCAACATGGTGTCCTGACTTCAGCTTTCTGTACATTGGTATTAAAAAGGCTAACTGTGGCTACATGTCTGTGGCTTCAATTAAACCAAGTGTAGCTAAATGTTCGGATACTGACACATTAAATATAACAAAATTTGCAAATTCTCTAATTAATGAGGCTTTAAGATGACAATTTTTCCAACAATCTAGCTAGCTGCTTGAGAACTAAAGCATTACAATGAGCAACTTAGGCAAACACTCTGAAGCTTTAAAATGACCACGTTTAGCTAGCTGTTCCATTACTAAGGCACTGAAAACAACTTAACATTGGCTTAACAATGACAAAAACATACTAAATGTCCCAATACACAATTATTAAAAAGACTAATGGTAGTTACGTGTTTTTAAATAGACCAACATATTACTTCAAGAACCTCACCATGAAATTCTTTTGATAGGCCATTGACAAGTAATTTACTGTAGCAAACTTAAGTAGTTAGCTTTAAAAAAACAAACTTTCTCTCACGGTTCTGACGCCATTTAATAGCTCCTTAGCTGTAAAATGTTTCTAAAATACTCACTGCAGGATTTGGAGAGAGAGAAGTGTTCATGATGACAGACTGACTAAAAACTAATTTCCTGACTGAGCTCAAACTGCAGGGGGTTTGTGTGTGTGTGTGTGTGTGTGTGTGTGTGTTAGTGGGTGGGCTGCACTTCTGTGTACATGGAGATGACCCTAACTACAACCTCCCACTGACCAGAATGGACAAGCAGAGAGAGAGAGAGAGAGAGACTGGGAGAGAGAGAATG